ATGTACAATCCTACACCTATAAAAAAAATCAAGAGAAATAGACATAATTTTTGATTCCTAACACGTGAATGAATTTCACGACGCACATAATCGTTGAGAATGTTATTGCGGTGTATATATTCATTCGACGCAACTGACCTTGAAGGATGCAACAGCGACTCATGGCCCTGAAGTTGTGGCCACGGTCAAGGCTATAGACTTGTAACACGGGGACCCATCGCGAAACCGGTGTTTCGCCATATAGGCAGCAACTCAACCATCGAACCACCTAAAACTCCCCATGCAAGTTTCATTTTGCTTTCGAACAGGACCAAAGACTACTTTGCGGGCTTCTTCGGGACCCGCATAACAAAAACATGTAGCAGAGTCGCTTTATTATTATTTTTTCCCTTTTTTTATAACCACCACTTGGAATCCGGTTTTGACTTTAAAAATCAAAGCAAGGTCGACTCGTTGTCTCTCTCCCCACGAAAATTTTCTCATCCTCTTCTTCGAAATCAAAAACTTTTAGATAAAAGGGATGAGAGTTCGCCATAAAGGATCAAAATTTCAAAAAAATTTATCATTTCATTGTCATGTTAAAGTAGTTTACGCATTAGAGTACTTGTCATGAAGAGATCATCATTTTTTACACCATGTCATTATCTCCCCCATCAAAAAAAAAAAAAATGGAGAAAGGGGGATCATAATAAACTTGACGAAATTGATCTATCTCACTTTCCCTCTGATATACCAAACTTGTCACTTCCTTGAAAATTTCTTATCATTTTCAAATAATCTGCTGAAAATCGGTTGAAAAATTCCATTTTAAAAAGAACTGAAAATCTCTAAGAAACTAAGACTTTCTATAAAACATTTCGGGATTGTTTCTAACAAAAAATGTGTTAAATTCTTTGTATTTCAATAAATAGAGAGCGAAGATAAATTCACAAGTGCAATTCAATAATCCTATGTCAAGGGGTGGAAAGGAATTTCTCGGGAACAAGGGAAAATATCTTTTGGATATTTGCAACCTTGTTAAATTACAGCAACCCCTCGAAAGAAATTAAATTCCAAAGAGCAAGCAATCTTCATGGGTTGACCCTTATCTCGACTACCATAAAATTGGGGTGAAAATGAAGAAGGCAATACCTCACTTCTGATCACGATTTCAACCTTGACCTTAGGGCTAGTTACATCAAACATCCAATCAATCTTACTAAAAAGAGTTAACTTGTAATGACAAAGAAACATAAATTCCACACTTCACATAAGAAGATTACTCTCGTAACTTATATAACACAACACACTAAACAAATACACAACAAACTAAAATGCAAAATACACTAAAATGCATAATACACTAAATAGGTATACAGAATACAATAGACAAATACGAAACAAAGAGAAATGTATTTTCAACAATAATATCTAAATTCCGGCATAATCGAACAATCTCATCCAAATAGAATTTTTACAGATTTCAATCTATAATTAACAAAGAATATACGAAGGTGTCTCGCCTTAATATTCCCCGATGGAGATTATAAAAGGTACGAGTTTTTCATAAAGCAAAATGAAAGTCGTAGATTTTATATCGAGTTTGATGGAGCGTATAGCAAATCGAAAGAGTATATTATAACGACAAACAGAAATAGGACAGGTTTCCAAAGCAAAATCTATTTATAGAATATAGAGTCTCGTCAACTATATGGGAGGGACAAGACACTATTTCTCTCCTACATATACTCACCATAGAGTATAGAGACTATAGTTAAATGTTTGTTATCTTTCTTTTTTTTTGTCCACGCCTCTGTCTAGTACAATCTACTACTCTCTTGCAAGCAGACCTACGCACCTTCGAGGTACGAACCTACGTTCATTCATGCGTGCGTGAATACCAATATCGTATATAAGGATTCTCAACAAATGAGAATCCAAGGCGCCATTAAACTCCCAACAACAATGAATCATACCGGAAATTATCCAACCCTCTTCCTTGAAATTTCCCCTATTCGTTCAGTTTTAAAAAAAACACCCATGAACTTTAATAAACAATTTCGAAAATCTACGCCAAAAAGAGAAAAAATTTTATTCAAAAAAACATGAAAACTTATATTTCATACAAATTCTTTACAGTACACATAAGTCTTTGAATAAATAATTTTCATGCATTTGCCAGAAACATTGATTCATTTTTCTCAGCGTTTATATAAAACAGTCTCTTGTAAAAAAACTAAATCATTATCTCGTTAAATATTCACTTTTTTTATATTTTATTTCCATGTACAGAGAGCTTTTCAAAAATTTAGATCCTGAGAAGTTTGTTTTACTGGAACGTTTTGAATTTTAAGTAAATTCGAATTATTAATTAATTCCTTAATAGCAAAAGTCGCCCTCTCTAAATCTGAATTAGTGATGATCCATAAGTCCTGAATGTTCAAGTAAGAACGAAATTTTTTGCCGACATAAATATTTTCGAAAATGCAGTGAAAAGCAAAAATATAAATAGTTCAGGAACTAGTCGTACACTAATTTGAATAATTAAATTAGTGAACATTTCTAATAATTATGCACTAAAACTTTGGTAAGAACTTAAATTTACTGAATTGTAAAATTTTACTACAAAATAGTTCAGATTTAATTTTTAAATTTTCAATTCAAACTAATAGACGACTTTTTACTAATTCAGATTTAGAGAGCTGCTGATGGTAATTATTATCGTTTTTAATTAATTAAGAATCGAGGGAATTTTGGAATATAGAAATTTAAAACTACATTTTTAATGGCAATGTAAAATTCATGCCGAACATAATGATTTGTTTAATAATTGACTAAGAAAATTTTTATCTAAAAGGTATAGTATTCAATTATTCACCCTCATATTCATTTGAATAATTAAAAAAAAAATTATACAAACTCAACTAAAATTTTTTCAAGAGTATATTTAATTCAATTTTGCAATATTTTCTCCAAAACAATTTAAAAATTTGATGTCTTTTTAAGGTTTTCGAAGATTTATTATAAACCCAATTTTATACCCAAAAACAGCCAAAAGAACCGATTTTATTAAAAACCTAAAACTAACAATGACTAAAAATGACCATTCACTTAACGATAATATTAACTAGACAAATTTCGAAATATTCTAAAACGAAAACAATGATCAACTCAATTTACAAACTATTATTAGGTATCTTAATTAGACATGAAAATTTAAATCACGAATCTTAATTTAAAGATAGAAAAAAAACTAAAATATAAACAAAAATCAAATACCTGAAATAAAAATAAAGTCTATCAGTCTCCTAAAATGCTTTTTGTATTTAAATATCGTGGGAACTTGGGCCTTACATTGCGCAATGGGAACAATAAATGTGACCTTGAAATGCCTGACACGAAAACAAACACACACGATCTTCATTGCAATACAAGGAACACACATTCAAGGAGAATACAAAACAAATATATAATTTTTAAATTTGGAAATCTTTCGAAAATTCAAAAACGCACACTAAATTATATTATCTTTTAAATAAAAAAAATAGTCTTTCAAAATCTAACCCTATAATTACGACAAATTTCACTACGAAATGCAATTTGAAAACAACGAACAGGATACTAATGAAAAAAAAGAATGGATTTGTTCTATTCAATATACAAAGAGATTGGACGCGAAAAAAATGTTGAAATTAAAATTCTATTTTTTATTTATTAGAATGCAATTCAATTCGGATAATCTTTTATTTTATCACAATAAAATTTTTTTCTATATTATTCTAAACTTTTAGCTATTTGCTTGCATAATCAGATTTTTTCATAATTATTAAGTTATTTTTGCAATTTTTTCTGTAAAAGTTTGATTAATTTTTTATAGTTTTATAAGTTTGTAGTTTTTTTTTTTTTTTTTTTTTTTTTTTTTTTAAAGTTTTTTATAGTTTTAAGTTCTGATTGTTCAAATGAACGAAAAATTTTTGTAAAAATATTTTCACAAATTACTGATTGTAATAAAAATTAAAAACTCAAATGTTATATTTAAAGTTTAACTTCTTTAAAAATTTTATTTTATTCTTTTGACAGTGACGCAAAAATATTGCAATAAAAAATTAATTTGAAGAAGAAATAAATAAATTTCGTTCATTTAAAAGTTCAAAACTGTATATTTTTATTTATCACGTATATGATTATTTATATTTTTTTTATTAATTCTATTGATAAAAATTAATCCTTCAATTTTAATAATGTAATTAATTTTAATAGAATACGTAAGAAAAAAGTAAAAATTGTGAAATTCTGATTCAAAGTTAAAATAATTCATAATAAATAAAGTATCAAAAAAAATAAATAAAATTCTAAGTAAGCTTAATTTCGTGAAATAAAGTCTCAAATTTGATTGATAAGATAAAAATAATATCAACGAGCAAAGTTGTGCTTCAAGCATTCTATGAATTTGATAAAACTATTTTGTTATCTTAATTAAAAATTGCAACATGTAAATATTTTTTTTACCATCGCCTCAGTTTATAAAATAAAAATACCACTTGAAAGTTAAATTCCAAAAGTATACTTCACACGTCAGATTTCAATAAATTCTACTATAGATTTGTTGACCTTGAATTTCTGATCATTTTAACATTTTCAAAGAGAAGGAATAATTTTATTTCGAGAAAAAATTTTAATTTATTCCTCAACTAAATGAGAAAAATTGAATTTTAGCACCCACTCGAAGTAATATTTGTTGAATCAAAATATTATCTTTAAGCGTAAATAAACGCAAGTTTTCAGCTTTAAAAAGAAGGCAATTTGTAAATTCTGTTAACTTATTCAGCTTTTAAAAAGAAGGCAAACTTATTCAGAACATTACAAACACGCCAATACACTCGACATTCCATAAAAAGAAAATTGAGGTTAGAATCGGCAATTATCTCTTTCAGAGTCAATTAAAAAACATCTGTTAAACATCAAAAAAAAGAAAAAAAATGTACCAAACACAAATAAATAGAGAGAAAAACCAGACTCACCGAACTCTATCGCTGAAGAATTCCACCTTACTCTTCTTCTTGACAAGAGCCTGGGGTTGATGAAGAGGGCTGACGCTAGGCTCGCTGGATGCTGGCGGTGAGCTGGACCCATTGCTTGATGAAAGAGAACCAGCCCTTCCTCGTCCATTCTCAATAATCTGCATATCAGTTCCTCGACCTCCTCCATTCATATGATTAGCATGTCCCGGTGGTCCAGCGGAAACAGCAAGACTCGGTCTTGTATTTTGTCTATTCCTACGCTTTTTCTTCTTCGCCTCATTCTCCTCGTGACGATTTCCATTCACATGATTAACACCTGGTGCCAACCAATCTAAATCCTTCTTCAAATGTCCACGGCCACAACGACATCCACAAGCCTTGAATGCCAAATCATAACCCTTCTTGGTCCAAAGATTCTGATGACGTTGACGCTCTGACCAACTTCTGGCACGTCCACAACTTTTCAAATATGTCAACACCGTCTGCTCCCATGCGTCAAAACATTCTCTATGCATAAATTGTCCCACTGGACAATTATCATTATTACACGTCACTTTAATCACATCCTGAAGTGAATTCATTCGAATCAATGCATCTCCCCGAAGACATTCACCACTTGGAATACAGCAATGTGTCGTATTTGAATGTTGACCATTAACAATAATATTATCCATGGTGTCGTGATTGAGACTGTTGTTTGTTGTTGGATCAATTAAAACACCACCATGCCCATTGACCTGTCGTCTTGGGGCCATATTATTCCAAAAAAAACTCCAGTCTCCCTTTTTTTCCTTTATTAATAAATCCGTTGTTTTGCCTTTGACAAACAAAAAAAATTCACAAACAATCGTCTAATGTAGTCTTGAGCACTATTTCATTCCAACACACCCTTCTCAACTTTTACACCCCAACTGTTTCTGGAACCACGTGTCTCGAAAAAAAAACCCCACACGGAAACTACCCTTCGAGAAAAATCCACATATCATCCAAGTCTTAGGGATTCGAAACGGGAGGTCAAGGTCACTGGGCACACACGCGAATTTCGTAGAGAAATCAAGGTCACTAAAGAATTATTATAACGCGAATGAACTTTTTCACGGAAATGTTAAATAAAATTGAATTCGATTAAAAATATAAAAAGCGAGTGTCAGGGTCACCACCGCAGCGCGAGGGACGGAGGGGCGGCTGCGGGGTATTTTCGATCGAAACACTACCAGGTCCTCTATCTCACTATTTATTCTCACCCTTGATAAAAAAAAAGTCCTTCAACTTTGTCGCGATTTATCGCATGAATGATAAAAATTTATTGAAAACATACACACGATGCAGGAAAGCCGGCTTTTTGCCTTTTGTTGAGGCACAGCTCTTCGCACAACGAAAAACACTCGCTCACACGTAGGGTGTACCAGTCACTGAGACAGTGGCAGCATGCCGGCTCAAGGCTCGGCGCGGGCGAACGCGAAAGTGAGGCCCCATTGGGTGAAAGCGAAAGCATGTGGTGGGGGTCACGGCTAGAGCGCCAATCGATGCGCGCCATTTTCGTCCCTCCGACAACGAGTACATCTTCCTTCTCACTCTACCGAATCCACTTCGCTCTCTCTCTCTTGCACTACTTGGTGATCTTCTCCGTCTCGCACCGCTTCCAATATTGCGTTGTGAACTCCATGCGTGTGAGTTGGATTTTATTGTGTTTGAGACTTCTTTTTGCAAGTGTGCGTGCGTGGCTGCATACGAAAAGTCTCGTGAGGTATGTTTTCTCACATATATAAGCAAAGATGTAAACAAAAATACATACCGAATTTAATATATATATTTTTGGAAGAAATTTACAATTTCGAAAACAAAGTTTTTATTTAAAAGAAAATGCTGTTTTTTAGGTTATCGGAAACTCTGGCGCGAAATTATATATTATTTAACCACTAACAATTGAAAAGCACTTTGTATTTATTGTAATGAGAATGAACCCGATAAGGTAAAGGTACCAAATATGAAACACTTTATGCTTGTTTTATGCATAATAGATTCCTAATCGAGAGTGTATAATTGCAATTGCAATCGTTAGAATGAGGAAGAGAAGGACGGACATATTTTGTCCTTCTCTTACTCATTGTCAATATAATTGCACCGATTAAACAGGGATGGGTAGCAATATTATTGCGAAGAGGGAATATTACCTGAACAATGAGAATATAACCGACTAAAATTCTTCAGGAGAATTTACGAGAATTTGTGTATTTATATACCTTTAGTTTCTAAATTGGATATTTTTGAGATTTTAACTATAAAGCAATTATTTATATAAAATTATTATTGATAATTGCTTCTAAAAATTTTTTAATTATTTAATTAATGGACTTTAATTGTGACGCGCTCCCAAAAAAGTGTTAGGTTATGTTTATAATTTTTGATGTAAAAATACAGAAAGAGAATCAATAACTATTACAAATTATTGATGTTCAAGTTTTCATAACGTCCAAAATATTCAATAAAAACTGGTTTAAAATTTAAATAAATAAAAAATAACTTTTAAGCAAGAAAAATCAAACACAAACATAACCTATAATTCGTTTGCATCTTAGGTAACTTTCTTGGGAGCGCGTCACAATTTGTTTACCATTTTTTATAACAAAACCAACAATATAAAATCTAAACATAACCTTAAAAATCTAAACTTTACAATAATTTTTAAAATATTATTTATTTTATTCATATTGTGTCAAATTTTTTACTATTTGATAATTTTCAAATTAATATTAACTGTGAATTATTCATTATTTTATTATTTATCAATTTTTGTTTAAACAATTTATTTTTATTTGAAAATAGAGAAGTGCGTCCAAAATAGAGTAAATTCTCTTAAATTCTCCGGAAGGAAAATATTCTTGGTCATATTCTCGAGAATATAACCTTACAGCAATATTGACAACATTTCTTTAAAGTTTCCAATATTAAGAAAATTTTCTCAATATTGCTGCAGTGTGAGTAGAGCTTTAATTTTAAACAATTAAATTCCACCATAGCGCACAATTTGTACAAAAAAATTTTCCCCGTTTTGCGAAGTTTGCAATGCAAATTTGCTGCGAACTTGCTAGAAAATTTCCGAATTTTGCAATGCAAACTTACGGCAAATTTTCTAAAAAACAGTGCTATATGTGGAATGCAAACAAAAAATGTTGATTTAAATGTGAAATTTATCGGGACAATTTGAATAACAATGCAAAAATACCTGAGTTTTGAGGTTACGTTCGTTATACGTTTGCTGCAGGTTTTACACCTAATCTCGAATAATACGGAAAATTTATTGAATAGAATAGAATTTATTATCAATAAATAGAATTTAATTATAAAAAAAGATTATATTAATTTTACTATTTGTAATATTGCTTGATAAAAGAAAAAATTAGGAAAAAGTGTCACAAAAGTGCACCTTAAAAAAGTGGGCGAGTCCATTATGAATTTGCTCACGTGTTTACAAAAACAAAAAAATTCTCAATATAGAAAATTTATTCAAATAATAAATAGAATTTAATTATCAATAGCTATAATTATATTAACTTTATTGTTTTCAATAAAGTGAGTAAAAAGTGCCATAAAAGTGAGTACCTTTACCTTACAAAAGTGGGCGAGTCCATTACAACAAAGTAACTGCGATTTGTTCACGATTTTACAAAAGTCAATTAAAAACAAATCTAATTACTACTTTTTTATTTGTTTTATAAACCCGAACGGTATTAATTTACTAATTCAACGACACGAGTTGAGACTGTTCTGCAGGATAACGAGTATTCGATAAAACTGAATTGTAATTTTTGTAATTAAACATTTTACACACAATACAAAATGAAGTTTGCCGAATTGCCGATTGAACCACGAACTGTAAAGTTGGTACTACTGCTCGATCTGTAGGCAGATTCAGTAGGCGCCATAAGACTGTCATGGCCGCCATGGCAGTCACCATATCTTTTGCTCTGTGGACGAGTTTAATAATTTGTTAAAAACGTTAAAAGTGTGCAAAATAGATAATTTCGTTATTCCGATTCATAAGTTTCACAATTCTCAATCACATATAGATAAAGTGAGAATTTGGTTATATTTTACAGATATATGCCGCACTTTATTCGGCGCCGAGAGCACGCGGATAAAAATTGTCGAAAAATGTATTTTGCAGTTCACTGAATCATTAATCCTTGTATTTGGTAAGTAAATAAGTTATAATAATTTATCTATTCATGAATATTTGGAAATTTTTGTACTAATTTCTGTGGAATATTTTGTTTGCATTACAGATTTCAACAATGCGTTTTTCGTCGACGTCAAAAGAATTCCGCAGTAGAACAAAATCATAACATGGGAATTTTGTCGGAAAAAAAATAATAGAATTACTGTTTAGTGGAAAGTCTTATTCGGTAAGTTGAATAAATCTTAAAAAAGTTATCTATTAATACTTGCAAATTTTCTACTATTGGTGGGCGAGTCCATTATAATAAAATATAAATAAAAATAAATAATAAAGTTCTTCACGTAATACATAGTGAAATTGTTTGCCGATCGAGCCACGAACTGTAAAGTTGGTACTGCTGCTCGATCTAAAGCCAATTTCATGTCCATGGCGGCCATGACACTTGTCGAAAATGGCGTTCTATTTACAAGTTTAATTATTGTTAAAAGCGAGATAAATGTCTATTATAAAATAACGAGAATAATTTAATTATTCCGGTTCATAAGTGCAATAATTCTCAATCTCAACTGAAGTGAAAATTTGATTATTATTTTGCAGATAAAATATAAAAACGTCACTTTTCGTTGGCACTATGAACCGTAACCTGTAAACGCACGGATGAAAATTGTGAAAAAAATTGTATTTGCAGTTCATTGAATCGTTATTAATCTTTCTATTTGGTAAGTTTCAGTAATTCAGAGCAATTTATTTATAAATACACGAAAATTTTCTATTTTATGCTTAAATTTTTTTTTCAGATGTCAACAATAATTGCGTTTTACGCCAGCGCCGAAAGAACTTTATCGAAATAAAAAAACGAATCTAAAAGTGTGGAATCGGAAATTTGTCAAAAAAATACTATTCAGTGAATTAATCTTCAGATGTTTTTCTATTTACGTTTTTCGTCAGCGTCAAAAAAATTTTATCGCAATAACAAAGCCTAAAAATGCACAATTGGAATTTGGCAAAACCTGGAATTACTATTCAGTGAATAATAATTATTCTTCAGATGTTTTTCTTTTTGGTAAGTTATAATAATTTTTTGTATTCTAAAAATATTCTAATTTCTAATAATTAAATTCATTTCCGAATATTTGGAAAAAAGCTTTTCCTCTTTTTTGTTACAATAATCTTATTATTTTTACAAAGATTACATTTAAAAAAATTTAATAAAATTAAAATCACATTTTAAGTATAATACATATAGACAAATTCAGTCTGGAAAAACAAATTATTCCTCTAGACAAAATTTCACTTCATAAAGTAAACAAATGGAGATAAAAGAAAATTAACTGTTCAGATAATAGAAAAAATTGTTATTTCAGAGAAAATTCACTCAAGTGTTTTATATTTCGCATATAGAAATAATATTTCTCATTCAAATGAAAGATTATTTCTTAATAATTAAATTTTTTAGATTTTCAAATATTAAAATTGCTTCATATCTTTATTGAATAGCTTTTAATTCAAAAAAATATTCATGGAGAAATTCTTTTCAGATGACCCACCGAAAACGTAATTCGCAAATTCCAATAACCAAAATGTGCGAATATATGGAATATTTGGAATGATTATGGAATTTATGGAATAATATGGAAGTGAGTAAAAAATAATTTTGACCTCAACCCTGATATATAAATAACCATAGCGCATAAATGAAAAAAATCCTCAATGTTTTCCACTAAATCGGTGAGTTTTTATTTATCTCTTTAATTAAATAGTAATTTCAAATTCATATTATTCTAAACGTCTCTATAGTGATAATTTTTCGTATTATGCTTGACATATACGATATAGGAAACATTTATTAGAAAATATATATTAAATAAGTACAAATTTCCGTGCGCATAATAAAAAAATTATGCACATAGTAAAATATTTTATTGTATATATATTTTAATATTTTACCATCTCTAACGTGCATTGAATTATTTATTAACACATTTCAATTGGTATTTGAAAGTGCGCAATTTAGAAATGGTAATAAAACAAACCAAGGGAAAGTTAAAAGTAAATTAAAATTGAATAATTGTTTAAAAAAAAATGTTTCCTATACATAAAATAAAATTGAACGATTACCCAAATAATTATTATCAATTAATGTACATTTTGATTGAATATTTTAATATTTTATCTAATCCGGCAATAAGTACATAATATAATTTCAAATCAGTAAACTGTGGATCTAAAAATAATCTATTTTCTTAGTTTGTGTTAATATAATTATTT